ACTTGTTGCTAGGCAACCAGGCCGCTTAGGCAGTGAAGGCGGCTTCCTAGCCAATCGGGGAGGCAGGTCATAATCTGCTGCCCACCTTCCTGATTGGAAAGGAACCCTGCTCCATGCTCTCTCGGAACTGCTAGTCAGAGGAAGATGAGTACTCGATGTACTACTATCGGTATTGGTGCAGCCCTAATTTTAACATTTGATTATGGAATGAATGGCATTTCCCAAATTAAAAAAAAAACATTCAGGGGGGTATTTATCAAAACTGGAGCAGACAGAATCCGAAGCAGTTGCCTATGGCAACTAGGGATGTCCCGATACCAGGCATTTTCGCGAGTACTTGCAATCATGAAAATGCCCCGATTCTTAAAGCCAATACCGGCCCTTTAAGGTTTCAAACCGCAGCAGCCGTCCGAGTTCCTGTGTTTGGGACCTCGGCAGCCTGCAGATAGCCGTCCTGGGCAGTGCCTGTCCAGTTCTCTGTCTCCCCCTCTTCTTTCCCGGTGCAAGCACAGCCATGGACAGCCCCGGGGGGCAGAACAACTGCCCCAGGGCTAGAGGCTGGGGGTTCCTGCCGCACACTGACGGGGAGGACTGGGCCAGTAGATGGATGAAGGTCGGGGGGCCCAGCAGCACAGATAGTCAGCCGGACTGGACGTGAGGAAGGCCAGGTCTTGACATTGCTGGTGAGGTGGAGTGCCGGTAGAGCCACTGCAGATATCCATGTCGCCCGGGTGAGATAGACACAGCCAGGTGAGAGGAATTCTGCTTTGGGGACCTGTATTTGCAAAATACATGTCTCCAAAGCAGAATACTATTCTGTCTTGGGGACATGTATTCAGTTCTGCTGACATCTGTATTTAGCCATGGTGAGAAACTGCCCTAAAATCATCAGTCTGTGTTGTTTTAGAAAAAAAAATGTCACATGTCCCTTTAAGAAAGAGTATCAGTAATTGGTATTGTCAAGTACATGAGGGACAGTACTTGTAGTTGGTCTTAAAAAAGTGGCATCGGGACATCACTAATGGCAACCAATCAGCATCTCTCTTCAGTTTGTCCAGCTGGGATTTGAAAATGGAAGATAGAAGCTGATTGGTTGTCCTGCACATCTGCACCAGATTTCCTCTGCTCCAGTTTTGATCAATCCCCTTCTCAGTGTTAGAATTTCTTTCACTCATGAAAAATGCTCCAACCTGCTCTTCGATTTTATACATCGGTAGAGTGGAAATAGATTGTGGGTTTGACTTTGGTAAATTAAAAAGTTGAACAAACATTCTGACAATTTTTTTTCCAAGGAAGTTCTACTTTTCTATATCCAGCTCTAACATCTTGTAGTGTAACTATTGTCTCCCTTAGTTTACATAGTGTTGGTGCTAGATTACTCCTGTATAATAATACAGTCAACGCCGCAATAAAAGGCACAAAGTGCAGTGAAGAACCAGGTACAGAATATGAGGTGAAATCTTGTGTTTCGGGGGTCCAGTGCGCTCTTTCTTAGGTGATTCCCACTTAGAACATCAACAAGTACAAGTCTGGTTTGACACGGTGATCCCACATGTATAGCGCTGGTACATGTATACACCTTCATTCACTGATGTATGCTGGATTAGAATATTTAGGAGGCACTGGCAAAGTCTAAATGCACCAACGGTTTCCAAGCAAGCTCCTTGGCTCTGGTAAGGTGGCTCCCACAGCATAGAAGGCCTCCCATGGTGAGTACCCAGACGAAGCTTATAGTATAGACATACACTGATCAGCCATAACATAATGGCCATTCGCCTAATATTGAGTTGGTGCCCCTTTTTCTAACCCATCGAGGCATGGACTCCACTAGACCTCTGACGGTATGCTGTGGTATCTGGCATTAAACCGTCAGTGGCAGATCCTTTATGTCCTGTAAGTTGTGAGGTGGGGCCCCTATGGATGTAAGTTGTGAGGTGGGGCCTCCTGTGGTGTCTGGACTCCACTAGACCTCTGACGGTATGATGTGGTATCTGGCACTAAGCCACCAGTGGCAGATCCTTTAAGTCCTGTATGTTGTGAAGTGAGGCCTCCATGGATCGGACTTGTTTTTCCAGCACATCCCACAGATGTTCGATTGTATTTTTAATATAATATTTAGGAGGCACTGGCAAAGTCCAAACGCACCAATGTTTTCCAAGTAAGCTCCTTGGCTCTGGTAAGGTGGCTCCAACAGCATAGAAGGCCTCCAGTGGTGGGTACCCAGATGAAGCGTAAAGTATAGACATACACTGATCAGCCATAACATAATGACCACCCGCCTAATATTGAGTTGGTCCCCCTTTTCAAGACCCATCGAGGAATGGACTCCACTACACCCCTTAGGCCCCGTTCACACTGAGCGATTTTTGCAGCGATATCGCTCATATTTCCACCCGATATCGCTCTATGTAGCTTCTCCAATACATTTCAATGGAGCTGTTCACATCTCGTCGCTCAATATCGCTTGTAGCTCGTTGCTGGTAGCTTGTCACTCCTACATGACCCTTTTTTTGAGCGATATTGCTCCTGATTGCATACAGCCCAATAGGAAAAAGTTGCGCGATAAGTCGCTCAATATCGCTCAAAATCGCGCGATTTTCATGTCGCTCAGTGTGAATGGGGCCTTAAGGTATGTTGTGGTATCTGACACCAAGCCGTCAGTAGCAGATCCTTTAAGTCCTGTAAGTTGGGAGGTGGGGCCTCCATGGATCAGACTTGTTTTTTCCAGCACATCCCACAGATGCTCCATTGGACGGAGATCTGGAGAATTTCGAGAGCCAATTCAACACCTCAAACTCTTTGTTGTGGTCCTCAAACCTTTCATGAACCATTTTGCAGTGTGGCAGGGCGCATTATCCTGCTGAAAGATTCCACTGCCCTCAGGGTTTCCATGAAGGGGTGTACTTGGTCAGCAACAATGTTTCGGTAGGTGCTACGTGTCAAAGTAACATCCACATGAATGGCAGGACCCAAGGTTTCCCAGCAGAACATTGCTTGAAGCATCACACTGCCTCTGCCAGCTTGTCTTCTACCCATAGTGCATCCTGGAGCTATCTCTTCTCCAGGTAAGTGGCGCGCATGCACCCGGCCATCCACATGATGTGAAATAAAACGTGATGGCAGTGGACACGGGTCAGCATAGGCACCCGGACCGGTCTGCAGCTACACAACAAGCACACAGTTATGGAGTTGCTCGGACCCAGTCATACGGCCATCACAATTTGGCCTTTGTCAAAGTCCCTCAAATCCTTTGGCCCCTTTCACACGGGCTGAACAGGAGAGGATCTGTGCACGGTGGTACGGATCGAATGTCACCGCTGTGGATGGAGGAAAAAAAACTGCATGTACTGGACCCCATGACGGCCTATGGGGAATCTGATGTAAAATGTGTCCGGTGCCATCAGATTCCTCCCCCCAAAGGCACGATCCGGTCCATCGAAACAGAACACTGTTCCGTCTGTTATAGCGGACCCCAGCTGTTGCAGAATTACAAATCCCATGAGGCCTTGCAAGACTGACGGCGACAAGCATGACTCCCAGAGGCAGAAGCATGATGGGAGTTGTAGCTTCACCACAACTGAAGTGCTGAGGTTCCTCTACCCCCATGTTAGTGATTAGTTACTAAAGGCTCTTTTATGAATCAGTGCTCCTGCTGACTGCTGGGGGTCCAAGGGCCGCACTTCAAACAATAACGGGCCCCATGTGGCCCTCAAGCCACAGGATGGGCACCAGGGAGGCTACAGTGCATGAAAGTGTATATAAACCTGAACACTGAGCTCCTTACTTGCTTCTTTCGGCTCTGCTAAATACACAATTGAAAGGGTTTTGTTATATTTGTAAAAAAAATACTTGTTAATGTGCCATAAATGTAGTGAGCTCAATCAGTCAGCATTGTTCCCAGTTCTCTCAGGGGACTACTGGACCACATCACCATGTCATGAAAACGAGCAGAGGGTGTTCTGTAGTCCAAAAATGTCCCCTCTTACAGTGACAACACTGCTCAGCCATACATACAGTACAGTGAGTGTTGTCACCCTATGGGAAAACAGTCTGAGAAAACCACTCCAGTGCAGACAGAAGTAAACCTGGCGCTAGTAACCTATGTGATGGGCTATGGTGGTCCTAAGGGGCTCCCTCTAGTGAATACTTGTGCTCCCCGGCCTCACAATGACAGACAGGCCCTGTGCCCTCCACACGGCTGAGGAGGGGAAGGGGAGATATTAGGAGGGAAGGAATGGCTGGCAGAGGTCGACGGCCACCACCGCATCACCTCCTTCTCTAGGAGCGCGGCTCACTCCTCCCCCCCTCCCTCCTGTGTGTGTCCAGCCGCGCATGCGCACTGCGCTGCATCCGGGTCCTGCGCTCTCTCGGTCGGCGGGAAATGGCGCCCGGGATTTAGCAGCCTCGGCCCGGAGATACCGAGGACACCGCGGCAGGGAAGACGGAGAGCAGCTCAGCGAAACCTCGCGATCCATCCGCGACCAGCCCGGAGTTCCCCGGGACACTACAGGTACCGATCGGGCGCGGGAGGGAAAATCCAAGCCGTGGACGAGGAAGAGGCCTCCGGTGGGAGAGGGAGAGAGGCCCGGCGGGGAACCGTCGGTGTGTGTACACCGATCCGGCCCGGGCACACGTGTGTGTGGGGGCGGGGGAGCAAACACTGAACAGGCGGCTCCGGCTGTGTGTAAACATGTCTGTCCCAGGAGAGCTCTGTACGGTGTGGGCAGGCAGGGGATGAGCGGAGACATCCATGGAATGTACGGTGTGGTCAGGCAGGAGATGAGCGGAGATATCTATAGAATGTATGGTGTGTGCAGGAGGAATGCATGCTGTGTTCAGGCAGGGGATGAGTGGAGAGCTATGAAGAATGCATGCTGTGCTCAGGCAGGGGATGAGTGGAGAGGTATGTAGAATGCATGCTGTGTTCAGACAGGGGATGAGTGGAGAGCTATGTAGAATGCATGCTGTGCTCAGGCAGGGGATGAGTGGAGAGCTATGTAGAATGCACGCTGTGCTCAGGCAGGGGATGAGTGGAGAGCTATGTAGAATGCACGCTGTGTTCAGGCAGGGGATGAGCGGAGAGCTCTGTAGAATGCGTGTTGTGCTCATGAGTGGCTCAGTGATCATTGTATGGCTCCATAGTTTGTGTTCTGTGTATGGATACACAATGCACCCCTTGACATCCAATAATCACATACATTGTGTTCTGTTTACTGGCTGTGGCACTACAAGTCCCAGCATGGCCTCTTAGGAGCACCCAGTCCTTGCTGCAGTTCAGGTACATGGGAAATCCATGGAATTTCTCCATCGCGTGTGTTCTGTGGATACACAATTTGCTGATCACATAGACTGGAAGAGTGGGCGGCAGGTACATGCTGGGATCTAGCTGTTGTGGAACTACAAGTCCCAGCAGGATGTTGCTGTAATATCTCTTGTACAGATGTAAATAAACATTAGGAGGGTTGGGCACAAAGACTGTATTTCCCGCCCTCTGGTTACGTATTCAGATATCGCTGCCGCATGTGTAAAGAGAACCTGTCATTGTATCTTCTGCAGATTTCCCTATAGAGGGTGAGTGTATGGACTATATAGGTTGGTGCCTTGGGTACACAGGATCCCTGTGGCCTGCGGCTCTTCAGCTGTTATGGAACAGTCCCTGCGTGTTCAGAGCCGCGCCGCCTGAGGTGCCCAGCTCACTCATTTCATTGTTGTGGCATCGGTAGACATTGATTGTCTATGGATACTGCACAACCTTTGCAGATGCTGCCTGGCCTGTCAGCAGGTTTGATTTCCTTGGCCAGTATCTGCCGAGTTGTCTGTGTCCCTTTTTAATCAATACAAGCCATATTCATATTAGACAGTAACAGTTTCCCCCATACCACGCCTTGGGGTGCTGAGCATCAGAGGCAGACAAATAGATAAGGAAATCAGGAGTTAGTCTTCTCCAGCCAGCTCCATCAACAACAACTAAAACGTTAGGTACCAGCTGTCATTTTTACGGAGCATTGGCGACCTGGCTCCCGTGGATTTTTCCAGCGCTGCTTTACACACTCTGAGCTAAGTGATTTATAGCTGGATTCTGGGGGAAGGGGGTATAATTCCCAGGACTGACCCTGCACTGTAAGGGTTAAATGCTCATTTAGGTGAAGGGTACCTAGGAAATATACTTTTACTTTTCTGATCCCTGCTCCTGCAGGCTTCCTCTAGGCTACCAGACCAGGTCCCACAGCCAACTTCACCCTAAACTCCATCAGTCGGAGGCCCGCTGATGCCATCAATTACATTCCCGGGTCCATAACCCCTTATTATATGGGAGGACGCTGAGGGACTGTCCGCAAGCTGAAGCATAGGGAAAACAAGGTGAGAGCTGGGATCAGGTAAGTAAAACTGCTCACCTGATACACTAGTCCAGGGTTAGGCAAACTCCGGCTCTCCAGCTGTGGTACAACTTCAAATTCCAATAGGCACTGCATGACTCCCAGGGGCAGATGTATGATTGGACTTGTAGTTTCACCACAGATGGAGGGTCGGAGTTTGCCTGCCCTAGACCTAAACCAGCATTTAAAGAAGAGCTCCGGGTAGGATAAATTCTTAATCCTTGCAGTGGGGCTGCCCATGCACTGGAAGGGTTAACTGCTTGTTTTTGCCTAGGGTCAAAAATAACAGGCCCCATTCACACCAGGGCGGTTCAACATGAAGGATCCCATACATTTCTATGGGGACCGTGCATGCGACCGCGCGATCCAAACCGCCTCCCGCCCGAATTGCTCCCTGACCCTTTTTTTTTTCCCCTGGCATTTTGATGATGCCTGTTGGCTTCAAATTCAGCTGTCTGCTCATATTCTGTATGGTTATGCTGTCTCATTGGGTCCTAGGACTGCACTGTCCAAGATTGCACTGATGATGGCCAAAAGGCCTGAAACATCTGTATGTAGTTTGGAATGAGTGGCTCTATTCTATTAGACAGTATAAGCCTTGTACACCAGCGGTGCACAATGTGCATCTGACCAATGGGGTGTAAAGCAATTATTTGCATGGCTCCTCCCACTTTCCTAAAATGAGGAATAATCCTCTTTTTTTGGGGGGGTATGCAATGGATTGAGACTTTTGGTTCCAAGAAGTGTATGTTACACACTGCTTCAGTTGGAGGGCTTTTTGATTCCTTTTGTCCCCTCTCACCATAACCTTTATGTTTTATACTATCTCATCCCTTTTATAAAAACCCGATAGTAAATAAACCTCTACAATACTGTCCTGGAGGGTTGTGGTAACCTATGTTTTTGAGTGTGTTGCTTTAAGGCAGCCCATTTACATGAGCACATCAAAAACCTCCCAAAAAATTGGGCATGACTGTTGGGGTGCGCTGCAATGGATGTACGTTCCCTTAACAAATGGCATCGCAATGCCCTGATGCATGGGCTGGACAATTCGTGGTTGCCAAGGTGACTAAAAAAGCAAAACCTCTCTGGGGTGCATTGGGGTGCTGAAATGCCGGGGCTACTGGCAGCGGTTTCCCCTCTTCTGGCCGGCAGGTGTCACTGTGCACGGAGGCGGTAAGAGAAAGGCCGGTCCCCTGGGCGCTCTGGACGCTTGCTTGCTATGGGTTTTGTACGGAGCAGAAAGTAGGCAGTATCTTAAGGCCAGAGCAGAACTGTGCTCAATGACACGGGGAAACCAAACAGTGTGTCATTGGAGTGGAGAGAAGCTGGTTGCGCCCTGGGTGCTCTTGGGTCCGCTGTGCCAGGTAAGGCACCCTGTACCATACCCTATGCAAATTTTGGCAGGTTCTTGTTGAACCAGCTGAAATTCACACACTGTGCTGTTGGCACCCTTTCGGCTGGCAATCCTTCAACCAGCTGATTGAAGGAGCAGGTTGGAAAATCTTCTTCAAATAGAGTGAGCTGCCGGCATTGTTCAGGTATTCTGATGGCGGCTGCTGTCAGAATACAATGCAAACAGCGGTAGATTCCTCGATCAAAGCTCGTAAGTAGATGTAGGAAGAGCAATCCTTATGTTTAATTGTTTTGGTGCTCAGTTACTGAAAGCCTATGGGTCTGTCTATTGTGCATATCAATATTGATTACATCTATAGGGATAGTATGTTGCTACTATAATCTGAACTCTCTAAAGGCATCATGGCCACTAGGAGGGCAGTCAGTCCTTTGAACGTATCCAGGCAATATTTCAGCACTGTGTAAAGCAGGGGTTGGCAAATTATTATGGAATTTAGGGCTGCAACAACTAATCAACATAATTGATTATTGAAAAAGTTGTCAACTTTTTCAATAATCGATTAATCGGCTTCCAATCAGTTGGCCCTGTTCACAGCTCCACACGCTGTGCGCCGCACCTCGTCCCCACCTCACACTCGCCGCTGCCAGACCCGCTCGCATCCACGAATTGCAGTTGGGGTAGAGGTGGCGGCATCCATGGGAAGCAGTTGGGTAGAGGTGTGGCGGCAGTTGGTGGCGGTTGGGACGGGGGAAGGACCAAAGATGCATCACACAGCATAGGAGAAGAGCACGCTTGGTAAGGTAAGTGTACTATAATGTTTATACTTGCACATTGTGGCAAAAACACACCCAGGACACAGCGGTTTACTACAGCGTTAGGACAGACGTTCCAGTACATGTTGCTGTGCTGGCTGCATTCGTCAGAAATCTCTCATTCTTCCACTCCTGGAGAGGCAATGCTGTTGAACTGCAGCGACATAAGAGGCTTTGAACAGTCTCCTCTTGGTCAATGTGGATGGGGTGAGCAGTGAAATGAAGGGAATCCAGTTCAGGGTGTAACTTCAGGGACCCTGGAAATATAAAGGGAAGCTAGAAGCTCACATTGATGCAAGCCAGGTACTCTCTATGTATGGCCAAGAGGTAGGTGCATAAAGAGGGAATAAGAGGATGCCAGAAGGTTGGGTGCACATGTCTAGACATGTATAGCGTCACGTCTTGACATGTGCACACAGCCATCTTTTATTTCAGTCTTTTGTCCATTTGGAATGATTTTATTATTACTAAAAGCAGACGTCAAACTGCAACACAGGGCATGTCCTGTATGTTGCTGGTTTGTCTACATGACCATTACATTTCCTTACCCGTGTAAAACTACAAGCTCTCTTGTATGTTGCAGCCAGTGGGAAGCAAATGAAAACCCCGGTTCTGTTTTCATTTTTTTTTTTTTTGCACTCCTAGTCTGTTTTCTGCCCGCCTTCTCTAGTTTTGTATAATCCGACATGTGCAGCGAGAAGATTGAAAACAGAAGGAAGACAGCACAACACTGCAAGCAATTTACATGTCTGCGTTATGTTCACTACTCTATAAAGCAGCATGTGTAAAATGCAATGAAATGTGCATGCTGGAAATGCACCAGTGTACATGGGAGCTTAAAGTGACAGTACATGATAAGCTGTGTAAGCATTGCTGTTTCACCCAGCTGCATGTAAACCTTTCAGTCCAATAAAAGCCATAATTTCATGCATCTTTTGCAGCAGCTGAGCTGGCTATAATAAAG